AAGTTTCCTTACTCCACACAGAGCCTAATAATAATCCCTCCAAAAACAAAACAATAATAAAATTGGTCATTTTCAATCTATGACTGTTTGTGGGACATTGCTGTGCGCAATTGGCTGCCGTGTTCGCCCATAAATATACAGTCAATTCACATTACAGTGTGTTCTGTGAAGCGTTTTGGGACATCCTCCCGACGTGAAAAGCGCTATATCAAATGCAAGGATTATTATTATTATTATTATTACAGCCAAGTGTACTCCATTAACATACTGCCTCCAACTGTGCCAGCCCTGACCGCTGCCAAAAGGTTATTTTTTCTTCCCAGCCCAACGCCATCGATAGAAATTCTTTCCAGACTGTCAAAGTATTGTGCAGAGAGCAACAAATTGACGCCGAGTTTCCATAACACCAAGTGCTGAACCCTTTGAGTTCATGGAACTCCACTCAACAAGTAAGAAGGAGGTTGACTCCAATGAATTCTAGTTTTTACAGTTTCTGTGAAGCGCTTTGAGATGTCTGTGATAAGACACTATATCAAATGCGAGGATTATTATTATTACTAAAGGAGAACAGTGCTTCCAAAAGAGAGAAAATTAACCACTTTTGCACATCAAACTGAACATTAAGTGTATCTGCCTTGCCCCCTCCCTCCCCACTTTCAAATTCCACCTAAAGATCTTCCTTTTTGATCGTGCAGGAAAGGACACTGACAGCGTGCATATGACCCAGTGGTCTGCCATTTTTTTAGTGCACACAAAGTCAGCCAGCGTTCAAGGCCAGCTTTCTGTACACATTCTGGATCTTTTGCTATGTAAATGTCAGGGTCTAAGTGCCAATAAGCGAACCTGCATAATAAGCAAGCATGAACAAGATTCCTTTCCCAACTTCTCTTACCAAACTGGAATTTAGCAGAAATTCAGGACAGAGCCTTTAGGCTCTCCGAGACGCTACCCACGTGAAGGGCGCTGTATAAATACAAGTTGTTATGTTGTTATTATCTTCCTCTCACGGTTGAGTTGAAACAAAAATATGTTTTTAAAAATGAATGTTTCAGTCACTAGACAGCAAATGGTCTACAGTAACCACCCTCTCCCTCTCCACCTGGCTCAGAGTCAGACTCCGCCACTGTGAAGTGTTCTGGGACGCTATCCCGCGTGAAGGGCGCTATATAAATGTAAGTTGTTGTTTTTGTTGCATAAACAGTTGTGTGCATCAACAAGAGAGGAGTGGAAAAAATCCTGCTAACTAGCAGTGGGAGACATCAACCTGCAAGTCCGAGCTTCTTGTTCCCAACTTCCTGGACTTCACCAGGGAGATCGGTGTTGGGGGAAAAGAGGAAGAAAATGATGCTCTCAACTCAATGCAATAAATAAAGATAGGCTCCAACTAAGTTTGCACTGGAGATTTCAGCGTCCTAAAACAAATAAAACTGAAATTCTACATGCAATTTACCCATTCCAGGATTACAATCTTGCAATACACAACTATAGTACCTGAGGAAAAATCTAAACCATCGCACAGTTTTGTTTTTGCACTGTTAACCTGTTTCCCATTTGGAGTTTCCCTTTCCAATCAACTCATTTTGTTTGGCTAGCATACATGTGTGAAAATGGATAAGATAGAATTTCAGCAACGTTGACATTACCAGTGCAATCTGGTACTAATTACACCATTAAAACAAAAATTATAGCTTTTTATGCCAAAACAGATTAAAAGGAGAGTGAATTGCCACAAAATCCTATAAAAGAGATGGATCTGTACATTTTCGGTGCCTCAAATATTTCATTTGTATTCACCAAGGGAACAGACAACCTACAACAAATCCAGTTCTGTTCCAACTCACCCAGAATAGCTTGTAGAATTCATATACTATAACTTTGAATTAAATAATAATAATAATAATAATAATAATCCTTGCATTTGATATAGCGCTTTTCACGTCGGGAGGACGTCCCAAAGCGCTTCACAGAACACACTGTAAAGTGAATTGACTGTATATTTGTGGGCGAACGCGGCAGCCAATTGCGCACAGCAATGTCCCACAAACAGTCGAAGATTGAAAATGACCCAATTTTTTTTTATTATTGTTTTTTGGTTTTTTTGGAGGGATTATTATTATCTTGTTGATACTCGTCAACAAGGTGATGTCTCACCACTGTAATCATAGACAGACTGCAGACATGGTTGGGAAGAGAGACTGCAGACATGGATGCAAATCACTCTTTCTGGCTGGGACTGAGACCTTTGAGGTTTTTTCCAAGTATCTCTGAGATCCACCATAATCACCTCCCACAAACATAAGTCAATATCTCCTAGATTTCAAATAACAAATCTAGCATTGGCTATTGCCCTTTGGATTACAGGAAGGGTCGGCCCTCTGTAATAACACACCCAGTCGCTTTTACAACATTTCCACTGCTTATCCATGCGGTTTAGAGCCACAATCGGATTTCATGCTCTGCAAAACATAAGGCAGACAACTTTGATCACAGCTTAAGTTGCAGCATTATAGTACTACTTCCACAGCATCTAGCCAATGCCACAAACTGCCTTCTAAACCCATTCCTGATGGCATCAACTCGGTCACTCTTCAAGGAGCCTCACATAATGGACACATCTACACCAACTGCTTCACTAGAGATAAACGAGTGTCGAAGAAGCTATCCGCAGAATGCACCTGCACAATTTCTATGGCTTAGTTTAGACAAAAAAAATCCATTTACCTCAGGCACAGACTCAGTCATAACTAAAGCTCGATGATAAAGAAAGCAGCAATTGGTGAGGAATCTGTCCATTCACGTGGCATAGTTGGTTTCCAATCCAACCTAAACTAATCGGACAAATTCAGTTTTCCACCATTTATAATTCTAATCAAATGTTTTTTTNAAACAGACTTACACTAAGTTTTCACTAAGCACAAGTGTGACGTAGAAAATCAGCAAAACTTTTATGGTTGAAGTTAACATAAAATATTGAGACAGACAGTGTGTTATTGAAATAATCCTTACATTTAATATAGTGTCTTTCACTTTGCGAGAAGGTAGCAAAGCACTTCATAAGATAGTTTCGGTGGAGAAAGCAACAGCTATTTTGTGCACAGCAATGCCCTACAAACAGCCATGAAGTGAATGACCAATTTTATTTTTAGCCAGAACCCCGGGAAAAAACTTCCTTTTCTTTTTGATTATGCTCCGAGTACCTAAACAGGCAGATGAGACGAGACTCCTCTGAAGAATAGCATCTCTAACAAAGCAGCGCCCCCACGCCCCTCCCACACGCCAGAATTTGAAACGAGAGTGTTACCAACTGACTCAAACTGACAGAAATTCTGCATCCAGCTAGGTTCTCTATCTGACATGGGGACACCTTAATCTTGCCCAAGATGCTAAAATGTGTGTGAAAATGCTCCTGATGGAAGTTCACAACTGTGGTGAAAAAGTGTGCTAACCTAGTGATTTTTGTGTAAAATACACCACTAGAAACTATTCAAAGTTTGCATAAAGGCTACTTAGCAAAAATGAAAGTGAAAGTAATAACTTTCTCAAACCAGCACTCCCTTGACAGAGTTTGTGATAGTCTCCTCAGCCAAGGAGACTGATACTTGAGTGGTATGTACCACACTGGAGTTCTTTCAACCAGGTTGTTACCACAAAGGTTTCAGCAGACATTCAGTCTCTTGTGGAAGGCAAAAAATCGAACAGCCTTGGGTTACAAGTTCATTGTCAATTTCATTCTCTCACCCTCGAGCTTTGACAGGTTTGTCCAAGTCTGCTGCTGGACAGTTACCCACAAACTAGAGGATTTGCTGAGTCCCCAAAAAAACAATTTCAACAACAAATTACACTTTAGAGCACCTTTCATGTCGGGAGGACTACCCAAGGAGCTGGACAGTCAACGATTTGCTGGGGGTTGGGATCAGGAGGAAGTCCTTGAACACAAGACCCATGTTTAGATTAACCCTTGAACAGAATACATCTGACAGGACTAACCATACGGAATTTGTATTTGGAAATTTGTTTTTTCCTTTAAAACCACCATCAGTTTGTGATGGAGACAATTAGCAGCTGGTCAGGCTCTACACGCCATTGCGCACGTCTGATGCAAACACGACTAGCACACAATCTGCTGTTTGTGTGCAATTAGAAGCATGTCAAAAACTTGTATAATTACTGAATGGTATATTTCAATAAGACTTTTTCAAAATTTGTTCAGGAAATTTATCAACTATTCATTGATTTAAAAAACATCAATGATTCTTGAAAGCACAAATATGTTCTTACAGGGAGGGCAGTGCAGGTTTGGAGAAGTTTATACTGTGAATATATTCTCATGCACCCATTTTGCTCTCCGCTAATTTATTACTTATTACCAGAGATTTGAAGTATACCTGAAAACGTACCCCTCTGACCCAGACTTTCGGTCATCTTTCCCCTCCTCATCCCCGCTTAGTTCCCACCTACAATTTCAATACCCAGCCAGAATTGTCAAGTGCTTTGGGATGTTCTCCCGGTATGAAAGGCGCTATATAAGTGTACATTGTACCCATTATGGGATCTAACATACATTTAACTTTAGAAATTCATAACATCTGGAATGCAACCATATTTGGTATATATGGGTTACTCTCCTTCTGTACCCCATCGACACCAACATCATGATCAATGTTTGCAGATCCTGATCACACACTGAATGTCTGGTTAACAGATCATGGTCCAAATGCCTGACTTTCCAGACCCTTGGTATGTCCTCCCAACGTGAAAGGTGCTATACAAATGTAATTTTGTTTTGTATCATGGTATTTGACTGCTGTTAGCAAGACCGGGTATTTTAGTCCATATTCTCCTCATACCGGGAAAGATTCAAAATATGATAAATTCCTAAATTTAAATCAGACACAAGACCCCCGGCTACTCCGTTGCTCCCATACACAGGACACACATTTTAAAAGGCTATTATAATGAATACGTTGCTAAATCATTAAACATTACATTTTGCAGCTTACCTTTAGCCAGTCGCTCCAGTCTTTTCCCATGTTCCGGGGGTATTGCGTACCTAGGAGACAATGAAAAAATACAAAATTATCCTCTTATTCTGCTCTTCGTCAATTAGAACACAAATTGTTACAAATATACAAGTCATCCAATAGCTCTAGCAAAAATTATTAGATATTCACACATTGACTTGACGCCCACTACATTCCTTGGATTATATATACATCCAACATGTGACCTTGCTGGGTAGAGAGTGAAGAAGATTAGATATAACACAGAAATACACAACAGTTTACATCTGTTCAGTGCCCTTCACATAGAGTAACATCTTGGAGCAGTCAAGAAGGTCAGGATTGGACACTGAGGGAGAAGAAGGGGAGATTATTATAAGAGAGGGTGAGACGGAGCAGTAGAGAGAGGGAGATCCAGAGGTTCGCCACCAATGGCAGCATAGAGGGGGTGAAGCAGGCTCAAATTGGTCAAGCAGAGAGTCGGATAAGGAAAAGCATGAGAGTGGGGTAAGGAAAAGGTAACATCACCCACAAAATATACAGTCAATCCACTTTACAGTATATCCTGTGAGCTCTTTGAGACGTCTCAACAATGTACTAAGGCACTACATCAAATCCAAGGATTATTATTAGAATTTTTAACCACTAAAGTTACATAGAATTTTGCCATGTGACCCTTATTATTATCAATAACACTTGCATTTGATATTGTGTCTTTTTCGCCAAGAGGACTCTTTGGTTTTTGCTAACCTCCCCTCCCGTCTCGAATCATCCCATCGTGAAAAACGATGTAACAAATGTAAATGTAATATTTGTAATGATCATTGTCAACCTATGCATTATTACGTTCCTGAATGAAGTAAGCAGGGTGCATCCCTCCAATGAGAGAGTGCCCATTCCATTCCCCCAAAAAAGCAGCCAAAAGGAAATTTCCAATGCGTAGATGGCATGCATATGTCAAACTCACCAGGTAGTTTGGATACAATCAAGCATGCTAAGTAGGGTTTCCATGTAGGTCAGATACCCAGCTGACCAAAATAAAATCTACTAACTGAATGATGGTGGGTTAAGCTCCCCAACTGAAACATTCTTTGTTATTAATTTGTCTAATCATTTTAAATCCACATGGAGACAGAATCTGCTCTTTTTTTTTGTAAGAACATAAAGTCAATCCTCCCCTTTTGTAAGCTTGCCATAAGCTAACTGTATGACATTTTTATTGAAGAACGCAGCTCCTTGCTGAGACACTAAGCTTCTCCTCCCTGATGTTTTGGATGTTCTTTTAATTGAATTGGATAATTTTTTTTGGAGAGGACTCACTTGATGCAATGCTATCACTGATGCTTTTTTTTAATATAACCATCCCTTTGTCTTATTCCAGATATCCCCATGTTCTTGAATCAGATTCAATGGCACATAACACATAAGCCTCAAGCAATTGCATCCAATCGTACATGACTGAAAAGTCAGTTCAGTTGAGCCTCGCAATCACCTTCATGTTCTGTTGGCAGGGCGAGGACAGGATTACTCCCCTGCAGTCAAACATCCTGCTGACACGCACTCTCACCCATAAATAACCATCACTTGGGCGAGGTAGCAGAGGGTTCTAGTTGCCCGGGGAACTCTGCCCATTGATTGATTATACATTTTGTAGAAGATATAAAAGGGTGCCTGAAAGGGTCGTGGAGGCCAATTTGATAACAACTTCCAAAAACGCTGTGGATGGGTATTTGAGGAGGATGGGTTTGCAGGATTATGGGGAAAGGGCTGGGGAGTGGGACTGAAATTACATTGCGCTTTTCAAAGAGCCGGCACAGACTCGATGGGCCGAGTGGCCTCATTTTGTGCTGTACAATTCTATGAGCAGATTCTAACTCCATGTGGATTTACAATGCAAGCACTCCAGGACACTACCTTGCGTGAAGGGCGCTATATAAATGCAAATCGTTGTTGCACGACTGGGTTGCATTCTCTGTACAGATACTTTCACAGCTATACACGACACTGTTGTGGACATTTTTGTTCAGTAACGAACAAACATTACTAGTTAAAGGAAAAAAAGTCAGACGCTTTCAGGAGGGGAGAGGAGAGAAAATTGGTGAGAGGGAGGGAGGGAGGGAAATAAAAAGTCAAAACAAATTAAAAAAGAACAAAGTTAAATCTAATATTAACTGGAGGTTTGATGGTGAAACTAGGAGATCAAAACGGACAGCATTAAGTTGTCCAAATGAGATATGGCCAGATCTTTACATATATCACCTACACAATCGAGTATGGACTAACATTCACTTCACATTGCACTAACTTTCTGCTTTGCATGAGCTCTTCTACCTGAGTCAGACCATCCAAATATACTGATATACTCAACACCCCCAATGTATATAGCTGGTAGCATTATGCAACACTCCAATGCTTCTCAACACATGATAGTGCATTCCTAAGTAGTATTTCTTGCTCTGAATAAAACATAAATAAAATAGTCTTAAAATTAGAGCTAAGGCAGTTAACAGAAGTCAAAACAGTTCTTCAGAAAAAAGATTTTGTAAATATTGAAATGCACTACAAGAACAATGACAACAACTTGCATTTATATAGTGTCCTTCACGCAGGATAGCATCTCGGATCCTGAAAGTTGTCAATCACAGAATTGATTGAGATGCTTAACAGGAGAGAGATACTTAGGAAAAAGAGCATTCAGGGATAAGCAGAAAGGTGTTAAAAGTTGACAGACCAGCTCAATAGGCCACATAGCATTCTCCTGTTCCTATTTTTGCATACAGGGGTTTTCATTACAATGAATTAACCTTTTAATAAAACCAATTATATAGTTTTGCACATTCAGAAGAAGCAGGGTCCAAGTGCTTCCCCAAGGACCCAAATGAAGTATTAGCCTACACTAGATTAGGGAAAATCTCAAACTTCAAAGTGTTATCAAAAGAGCCTGCTTAACAGTTTGCCTGCAAGCTATGATCAATTCCCGCCCCCTCGCCCATCCTAAAATCATATTTTCGTAGGATAAAAAAAGGCCTGGGCAGAAGTGTTTTAAAAATGGAACAAAACAGAGCTACACTTCCTGAGAATGCATTCCGAAGAATGTCATCAGCAGCTTTTAATTCATTAACATCGATGGCACTGCCAAGGAGCTGTGAAGATCTCTGACCACAAATGAATGGACTTGCTTCTGTGGGTTTAAATTCTCATACATTTCCGCTGTGCAATAGATGTTTTAAGACATATTACCTGGAATCCAAGCCAAACTATTGCAATTTCTGAAGCCAGATAAAATTAATTTCCATGAAGTGCACATTTCCATTAAAAGCAGTTATGATTTTCTACCCTTGGCTACTTTGAATAGATTAGAATACCCATTCTTATTCTGATTGTGGGTTTCTTGTGCTCTTTGCCAATTGGCAAGCGCATCCTTTTCAATAAGCAGATGGGAAGCATGATGAATTGTTGAGTTTCAATTATCTGATGTTTTATAGAAAGTCAAGCTTCTGGAAAACTCACGAAGAGGGTAAAAAATAATAATAATAATCCTTGCATTTGATGTAGCGCTTTTCACATCTTCTAGACGTCTCAAAGCGTTTCACAGAATATAGTGTAAAGTGAATTGACTGTATATTTGTAGGTGAAACGCAGCAGCCAATTGCACACAGCAGTGTCCCACAAACAGTCATGGATTGAAATGACCAATTTATTATTGTTTTGTTTTCTTGAGGGATTATTATCAGGCGTGTGGAATAAGGAAAATTGCCCAATGTTTCGAACTGTCGGGAATCAAACCCAGGTCTCTCGCTTGTGAGGCAAGTGCTCTAACCACTGAGCTACAGGACTCTGCAGAATCTGTATTTCACTGAATTGGTTTAATCTAGACCATCATTTTTAGACTCACTAAAATTAATAATAATCCTTGCATTTGATATAGCGCCTTATCACATTGTTGAGACGTCTCAAAGCGCTTCACAAAATATACTGTAAAGTGAATCAATTGTATATGTTTTGGGTGAAAAGCAAGGTTCGTCTCTGGTGATCTCCTTCTTGTTTTATACAAAAGGGTTCAATCGGCAAATAGAAGCTGGGGAAAAACAAGTCTGTCTTACTTACTTTTCTGGACATTTCAACAATGATTTGTCACGTTTCTATCCCTTACAACACTGGACTGGCATGAAGCAATCTGCCTGGCTTACATACGCTGACTCGGTTTTGCTTTCTCTCTGACTACCTATGCTAAAGATGAAAGGGCATGTAGCTTGCACACACACCAGGCTATAACACAGCTCCCAAACTGAATTGGTGGTAAATATCTCCACGGCATTATCCCATTTCTGAACTCGACTGAATGATATGAACTAACAGGTACAGAAAATTCTCCTACATATTGTTTCTCTCATGTCACCCAGTTATATTCTTTATCCCTTACAACGCTGGACTGGCACGAAGTGTCCTTTGAAAATGAGCAGGACCAATCCAAGATGATATTTCAGGGGGAGATAGGAGAGGAATTACTGGTACAACATATCCCAAAATAAGGCACAATGGGCCACTACAAACTCAACAAGGAACTGTGCCATCAAATGTCCAAAACATTAATTTCCAGCTGCTTTTCTATTAGATAACTTCTTCCTTCACTGCTTTATTCAGTAAAATAATTCTAGAATGTCTGCTCCAATAAAGATCTGCCCCACATTTTAATACAGTGTTAATGTATTCTACTTGAGGAAAACAGATTTTGCATTTAAATGTCATTAGACAAAAAAATCCAGAGATTTCCCTTAAATAATTTGCAATTATTTGCTGATTTTATAATGTGTTTGAACAGAAAGCCTAGAGGGTAAACATTTTTCGGTGTATGGCATTATTGAACACTTCTGACAGAGGACATTGACACAAGTTCACGTTACCCCAACATTGAGTTTAAAGACCAAAGATAAATCAGATTAATCTTTGAGGCTCATATGAATTTGAATAAGAAATTACTCATCAGCTGACGTACAGTGCCTTGAACAGAAATACACAAGCAGCAGTGTGTAGAGAAGAGATGGGAAAC